AGTCCGACGTGTCCTCGACAAAACTGGATCCAAGTAATATCGTGGAAATCCATGGCTCGGGAGCTATGGACGTTTTTCCTAAAGCCTTAGCATTCTTCTACCGTTAGAGTTGGAACTGTCAGAAATGAATGAAAACATAGGTTATCGACTATGCTGAATCCCATGACAATGTTAGTTTTGAGAACAAACTGCAAGAATCGACTGAAAATCTATACTAGACGAAATAACCCAGTTTTTATGATTTTTATTAAAAATTAAAAAATTCATAACTCAGTCGAAATCGATCCAACCTACTTCTGATTTTCATAAAATATTTTAACCGCTTATTCTGATTCTGTATGTAAAATCAATAAAAAATATTCTCTTAGTTCCGGAAATTTCTGCGAAATCTTTCTAGAAACCAAAGTATTTTTCAACATTTATTGAGCTTTACGGTATGATAGTTCCAAACCTAACGGTAGAAGAATGCTAAGGCTTTAGGAAAAACGTCCATAGCTCCCGAGCCATGGATTTCCACGATATTACTTGGATCCAGTTTTGTCGAGGACACGTCGGACTATATATCTATGAAAAAACAGTCCATAGATTTCTATGCCAGTTTTCAGAGAATCGAACTGGTTCTCTACAGATCTAATAGAAAAACGATCGTTGAATTTTTTCCCAAATTCGTTTTTGCTTATGAAAACATAGCTACAGGTATTGGTTAGCGAATGATGAAAATCCTAAGTTTCTATCTGTTATTTCTTTTGAATTATTCAAAAAGTAACCGATGGCTTTGTATTTGGGACGGATATACTCTAAAAAATAGTCGTAGATTAATAAACTATCAAAAAGGATTTATTGAGGCCAATAAACCTTAACTCTTCAGTTTTTTAGAGTCTACAAAAAACTGAAGAGCTTTTTAGTTGGTATTTTAGACTCGACAAAAAACTGAAAAGGGTTTTTTGTTTTTGATAAAAAAACCATCCGTTTATCATTTTGCATCTGTCACGAACGCTTTTTGGTTTTTCGGAAATAAAAAACGAAAAAGCGTTTTTTACAAGGTTTATTGGTCTCAATGAACCCTTTTTGATAGTTTATTAATCTACGACTATTTTTTAGAGTGTACTAGCCCTGATAGAAAATATTTTCAGTTATCCTATTTGACTAGAAGAATCACAATTAGTATACTACTTTGATCAGTGCTTTAAGTTAATTTCTACACAAGATATTGAGTTATATGAATAAAAAACGTACTTTTGTCTCAGCATATTCTTGCATATATTGGAACAATGATTTCTTTTTTGCTGCTACACCATCTGAGAATGCTTCTTTTGGTCTTGACAAAATTGAAGATGGTATCAAATCAAGACCATCAAATGCTTTCCTAAGTATACCGAAAAGTCATTAGACAAATATACTGCAACATATCATCACGAGATAACACTTACCGTAGAAGATATTTTTCAACTCGTTCTTTAGTTGGTGATCGTTGATCAGCTGGTAATGATAAATAGTACGATGAAAAAAAATGATCCAAAAATGGTACACGTAATTCAAGACTGAAGAAAAAGAATTACATTGAGTGTAAATGTGTATAGAAAAATTTCTTTACAATTACCCATGAGCAGCTGTTGTCCTATCAGCTCTCAATACATCAAAGTAATAAAGATCTTGGCAGAGACGTCGACTTTCTTTATCACCTCCTTCTGCGCTTGGTTGACGATAAAAATAAATGTAACCTGAAGATAAGAATAAAGAAGTAATCTCTAATAATAAATACGTTCAAGTTATATACCTTGACAAACTTCATCTGCTCCTTCACCAGATAAAACTACAACTGTATCTGTATGCTCACGGATATATTTGCTAACAAAATACATTCCTAAAATAGATGTTAAAATTAGTACTGTGTGTTAATTTATTTCATACGACTTGGCTACATAACTCTCTTACAGCAGTGTAATTCCGTCACTTCCGCCCGTCAGAAGAAATAAAATGCAACAAAACGTGACGGAATTACACTTCTGTAGCAGAGTTACGGGATCGTGCCACATACCAATGGACGCTCTTATAGTTGTTATATCATAAGATTCTAATGAATAAATAAGATCACGTAATGAATTTACAGCATCTTCTGCTGAAAAACGTATTGAATGATGCTCCGTTTTCAAATGATCGGCCACCTAAAACAATAAAATTACCAAACGAAATTGTAAATTCATGAAGTTAGAGAATATATTAGCTGTTGTGAAGAACGCTGCAAACGTTTTATCGAAAATGAAGAAATTAAAGATAACCAGAAAGAATAAAATATGATTATAAATGATTGTTTTCTAACATGATTAAAGTATTTAGTCAACATTTTCTTACTTTTTGCGCTGCCACAATGTCTGGACTGTCATCGTCCATTCCGATAGAAAATGTTTGTATCGGATAGGTAATGCCTTTTTTTCTTGCCTCTTGAACGGTTAACGCAGCAATTAAACTCGAATCCAAACCACCTAAAGACATACTAATATATACTACACGTTTAATTAATGTTATAAATGCTTACCAGAGAGCATACAACCAATTCTTCTATGGGACATCAAACGCATGCGTACAGCATTTGTTAAACATTCACGAATGTTTAACAATACATCATCTAAAGAAGAATATTAACTATTAATAATACTATCATTTTAATCCATTTTTATAACTTACCAGTCAACGTCACGTTAACATCATACTTTGGCATAGTACCAATTGCGTGAAATCGTTTCTTTTCATCGAGCGTCACTAGACCCTCTTGATTCATCGTGTAAGTTTCATATGTACCCGGTTCGACAGTTTCAACTTTTAATGGTTTTTTTGATTTGACAGTAAGACCTTTCAGACCTAAATAGTAGAAAATAAGTAATGTGAGAAAGTAGTACTACCATAGACTGGTACAGTAAAAAGGCTGACTTAAGAATGATAACAATTTCGTCTGTCCTCAGGTACCTTTTGCTTCGGATGCTACTGCTAGAAACCCACAATCCGTATAAATTCGAAATGATGGTCGCACACCAAACGTATCTCTTCCAATGTGAACTTTTCTCTCTTTTGTATCCAAAATGACGAATGCAAAGACACCATACAGTTGTTCACACATAAACTGTATTCCCTTATCGTTGTATAAATGAATTAATATCTCGCCGTCACACGCTGTTTCAAAATTATAACCGAATTTTGCTTGTGTTTGTCTAAAATTATAGATTTCACCATTGTATGTCATCCAAATGTGTGGCAGTGCATGAAGTCTCATCGGCTGCATGCCATAAATATCATCAACTATAGCCAAACGGTGAAATCCAAATACACAATTATCAAAATGATTTACATTTTCCATTCGAAAACAATCGGGACCTCGATGGGCCAGATTAAAGCATCCTTGTATTTGTCTATGAACATCGACCGATGAACCAAATATACACCAAATACCACACATGATAATGACGACAGATGTAATCTAAGAATACGGACATATACATATATATATATTGGCTCGATCACGTTTCTTCTATCGTACGTTGTTTCTTCTATCGTTCTTGAATGATGACACATTCAGAGCTTTGCAACGTCGCATATCAAAGAGAAAGTGTGTTGAATAATTTTAGACTTTGGCACACTCTACACATTTTCTTGTTTTAAAACTATAGCAAAAACACGAACTTCTACTTTTTCAGATAAGTTTTGAAAAGTAGTAGTCTGCATTTTTGCCGTATTTCCTAAACAGAAGAATGTGTAGAGTGTGCCAAAGTCTGAAATTATTCAACACACTTTCCCTTTGATATGCGACGTTGCAAAGCTCTGAATGTGTCACCATTCAAGAACGATAGAAGAAATAAAGTGCAAAAAAACTTGACGAAATTACACTGCTCTAGTAGAGTTACGTGGTCGAGCCGATATAGAACATCGTAATAAACACTTGTGGAAATAATACTACCTGCGTTAAAGACAGATCATACTATTAGCTTTTATCCCAATTCTACTTGTGCTTGCAGTGTATCAAAAACAAAATTGATCCGTTTATAAATCAGGAAAAACAAGATTTCGTACGTGATAACGTAAAATGTAAAAAGGGAAGATGTAATACAAAATAGACACAATCGTTAATAATACTGTAAACCATTGATGAAAAACACTTTAGCAATAAATCCCAAAATACTGGTGAAATGAATAGTAATCGAGATCCCGAATTATTGACGATTAATATCTTTTTGTTCTTCGACAGCTTCTTAAAAGTGTGACACACGACAATCACTGATAGTAACTTACACTAAAGTGAAAGAGAAATACATATGTATCATTTCCATTCTTTGTTTCTTCACATGTACAAAGAGTATACGATGAAAGAACAGAAAAAGTAATACTTTTTTAAAATAGTTTGTTCTTTAGCTTTGTTTCTTCTGTGGGCACTTTCATCGTACATTTCGTCAGAAATATTGATGCAATACTTTTATTCATGAAACTTAGAAAGCATAAAAGCAGAAAACAAAAAAATACTGCATACGTCCGCAAGCATTCCAACTTCATGTATTTTTCTTTTTTCTGCACTACGAAATAAGAACATTAAATAAAAATCATCATTGCATCAGACTGCTTTAACAAAATGAAATTTGATCTGCGTAAAGCGGAACGAATAGCTTACTACTACAGATTATTCCAGTGACATTGGTGCGTTGTCTCAATAAGATTTTATGAATGAAAAATCATTAAAAATTTTTAGTAAAACGAACAGCCTCAGCTTACGAGAGAACATTTTTAGCTGTCAAATCACTTTTTCTTTAATTAATATGAGACTGTTTGTAATCGTTAGCGTTGATTTCGAATTCGATGTCCGTTATGGCAGTCAAGCCTGTGATGAGTCAGGTTTTCTGAACTTTTTTTCCCCAAATCAAATTCTGATTTGTCTCATGTTAGAGCAGGTCGAGTTATGTATGTCATCAAATTTTTTCGCCAACCTCACAAGTTTTAATGGGAATAGCGATGAATTTATCAAATTACGGTTGCAGAAGGATTATCAATGAAAATGATAGTCAACGAAAAAATGTCCAAAACAAAATACTTTTTAACCCCAGCTCCCTCCATTGAACGAATTACCACTGCGAGTAATTTTTTTTCAATGTTTTGATGGGAAAAGAAGATCTGATTTTGAGCCATTTTCACGCAGTTTTTTGTTTTGCTTGATGGCAAGCAAGTGTTACTTCTTTTTTTAAATCGTTCTTCTCTAGTCAGTGCAGAACGGACAAATTTTTATTGGGGGGGGGGGGGGGGGGGGGGGCCCCGGTTGGGCCCCGGGGGGGCGC